TCCTCATAAACCACTAAGCCAATTTCATCCAAACTTCACAGGAATGTTCCATTGGTGGTCACCTTTAAAAATTGTTCAAAGAATTTAATTCCATGCAGAACTCTGGTTGCCATGGCAACCGAAAGAAAAAACTTTAAATATCTTCTTTTAAAAAACCATAAGAGCTAGAGCTTAGATATTTGCCATGAAACATCTTCTAGTGAGTGTCTACCAAGTTTGTTCAAATAAAAGCCCTGGGGTCAAAATTGGCCCCGCCCCAGGGGTTCATTGATTTTCCCTATATGCATATAGTAAAAACATAAAAAATCTTCTTTTAGAGAACCCAAAGAGCTAGCGCTAAGAAATTTAGCATAAAAGATGTTCTAATGGATGTCTATCAAGTTTGTTGAAATAACAGCCCTGGGGTCAAAATTGGCCATGCCCCGGGGGTCATTGATTTTCCCTATATAAGTAAAAACTTAAAAAATCTTCTTTTAAAGAACCCAAAAAGCTAGAGCTAAGATATTTAGCATGAAAAATGTTCTAATGGGTGTCTACCAAGTTTGTTCAAATAAAAGCCCTGGGGTTAAAACTGGCCCCGCCCCGGGGGGTCATTGATTTTCCCTATATGCATATAGTAAAAACTTAAAAAATCTTTTTTTAAAGAACCAAAAGAGTTAGAGCTAAGATATTTAGCATGAAACATGTTCTAATAAGTGTCTACCAAGTTTGTTCAAATAAAAGCCCTGGGGTCAAAATTGGCCCCGCCCCAGGGGGGTCATTGATTTTCCCTATAAGCATATAATAAAAACTTAAAAATCTTCTTTTAAAGAACTCAAAGAGCTATGGCTAAGATATTTAGCATCAAACATGTTCTAATGGGTGTCTACCAAGTTTGTTCAAATAAAAGCCGTGGGGTCAAAATTGGCACCGCCCCAGGGGTCATTGATTTTCCTTATATGTGTATAGCAAAAACTTAAAAAATCTTTTTTTAAAGAACTCAAAGAGCTATGGCTAATATATTGAGCATCAAACATGTTCTAATAGGTGTCTACCAAGTTTGTTCAATTAAAAGACCTGGGGTCAACATTGGCCCCGCCCCGGGGGTCATTGATTTTCTTTATATGTGTATAGCAAAAACTTAAAATCTTCTTTGAAAAAACCCAAATAGCTAGAGTTTAGATATTAAGCATGAAACATCTTCTAGTAAGTGTCTAGAAAGTTTGTTCAAATAAAAGCCCTGGTGTCAAAACTGGCCTGGCCCAAGGGGTGTCATTGTTTTTAACTATATGTGTAAAGTAAAAACTTAAAAAAATCTTCTTTTAAAAAGCCCAATGAGCTAGAGCTTAGATGTTTAGCATGAAACATCTTCTTATGGGTGTCTATCAAGTTTGTGCAAATAAAAGCCCTTGGGTTAAATTGGCCCTGCAACGTTGGGGGGGGGGGGGGGGAGGTTTTGTGGGGGGGGCCTATATACAGGTGAGCGATCTCAGGGCCATCATGGCCCTCTTGTTTACAATTTTATGTTTGTTTGTAAAAAGTTTTGCAAGAAAGATGGACTATCACTAAATCACTATGCATTGGTTAGGTCTACTGCCTCAAGTAACCAGTTATAATTACTGTACTTTAATATACTTGACAATGATAATAACTTACTTATGTTTTTATTCTCTAAATATTACAACATTTACTATACATTAAATAGATATACTGCTCCATGATTTCACATCTTTACAGTGGTTTACTAAATAGTAAACTTACACAATTACAGTGTATGATTTAATGTATGTCGTATTTCACACATACGAATATAATAATTAGTATATGATACATACAGACAAATAATGGAGTATCAGTGAATTTTTAGCCGGATATTTTACCCGTTTTGCAACGATAAAGTATCGATTTGTCAAATTTAATTTATCAGCAAACATTTAGTAAATGCAAGTGAAATACGACTTTCTATCTAATATAATTTCTTTATTAAAATGTTGTCTAATTTTTTGTTATCTTGCAAATGTGGCTTATCATATATATCAAAATTTCTTTCATCACTGTCTCTAATCTTTTTTGGTACTCTTTTTAAACACGTTGTGTATGCAAACCTCATACTGTGTAATATATTGTTATATTTTATATTGTATGCGACAATATCTAGTGATGTTCCACGAATAAATGTGTCAGTACTTAATTGTGTATGCTACTTAAATTATGTCATGCTAGTATGTACTATATAGACAGATTTGCTGCATAGTGGAGATATCACTTTAATTATAAACTAACTATAAGGTTAGGTTAGTGTACGAAAAATTTCCCATTTTTTTGAAAGGGAGGGAACCCATTAATTTTATATATCTTTTTTTTTTACATAAAAAAAAAGGTTTTTTTGTGTTTTTATTGTACTTTTTAAAAATTTTTTAAACCCATTTTTTAAATCTTTTTATTTCAACAAAATAAATATAAAACATTCCCAAAATTTTAAAGGGATTTTGTTCTCTTAACCCATTTTTGGTTGTAAAGGTACTACATTTTTAAAATTAAAAACATTGTAACATTTTGGACTTTTCACTGCCATTTTATGCAATAAAACGTGTTTTTTTTACTTGGGTTTTCTTAAATTTCCAATATACCTAAAATTTGTGAAAAAGGTACTGAACCCCAAGTAAGAAAAAATTTGGGTTAAAAAAAATTTCCCAAATGATTGAAAATTAAACCCTTTGCTAAAAAATGCCCTTTTGCACCCCAGTCATGAGTTACTTACACCCCCCCCCAAAATAATAATCCCCCAAAAAGGTTGTATAGACATCCAACTAGATTTTAAAAACCTTTTTTCAGAATTTTTCTTTAAAATTTTTTTTTATAAATAAAAGGATTAAGTTATATTTCGATTTGTTCTTTTCCCATGTACCCCTTTTAGCATTTGATGTGACCAATTCCTTTACATTCATTAGCAATGGTAATTTAAATGGTTCCAAATTTGGGAAAAAACTTTTTAATTTTGGTTAAAATTATCTTTTGATACCAAAAGTTCCCTAAACTAAATTTTTTGTTTTTAAAACACTGGGGGTATTTGAGAAACCATCATTTTGAATTTTTTCCTTTAAAGGGAGTAATGACTAAATTAAAACCCGGGGAAACACGTCCCAAGATTCATAACTTCCTCAAATAAAAAAAGAAAACCCGAAAATTATTTTTTTCATTTTTATTTGAAAACCCCAAAAAAAAATAACCCAACAACTTAAAAAATTTTGTGCAATCTTTTTAACAAAAAAAATAATCAAAAAACCCGTCTTGAACGGGGGCCCTCGTCTGTTTGATTGAAAAAAATAAATTTATTTAAAAAAACGGGTTTTAAAAAAAAACGCCATAAGGGCGTCATTTCCCATTAAAAAAATTTCACTTTGTAACAAAAAATTTCGCCCACTTTTTAATGTCAACTACTTAATTGGAAATTTTTTTGTTTCGGTAAAAAACTTCTCTCAATATTAAAAAAAGGGAATCATAAACATTGGTCGGGGTTCATTATGACTAAAATTAAACGCTGTGGGGCAAACGTTATTTTATTATGCTTATTGTTTCGGAAACAAAAAAACAATACTATGATTTGATGAAGTTATACAATAGTTTAATGCCTTTACTAGTCTCGTGCAAGGAATTTCTCTCGGGATAAGACTATTTATGTACCTTGAACATACACCTAGACATTGAAATTCGTTGATTCACTATCAATAATGTTCGTAAGTTAAATGGCTTTATATAATTGTTATTTATCATCTTTGAGGATCAAAACTACAGTGTGTGACTGTACATGCTTTATCTGCATATGAATTTCGTATACATGTTAACCATTTCTTCTAAAAGCCATTATGCAAATTTTAAATGTAAGATAAACTGAATATATATTATCTAGGCAGATAAATGTATCTCTTCCGTGATCAGGAGCATATTTTATGGCCTTTGTATGTGTCAAATAAACTTAAAAATAATAAAAGTGAAGCTTGATTTAGATCTATGGGAAAGGAATGCATAACAACGAAAGAAGTGCATTTACATATCAAATGACACACAAACGCAATGTCTTAGATTCTTTATATTTGGTTGTATGATAAAAACAAGATACAAAAATCATTGGTACAGTGTGGTACATCTATAGATGCACTGATCTTTCTTCAAACTTTTAAAAGAAACCTAGAAATATTAGTTATTGCAGCCATTTATGGTTGAGAGGCTTTGATCAGGGTATAGATAGTACATTCTGCTTTCAATGCTTCTGATGGAAGACTACATTACTAGCTATATATGTAAACGTGTTTACACCGCGTGCCAAGTTCAGAGATGACATACAAGATGACTTGATTGACGCGGGAAAACTTGAAACATCATAAACGTGACAAAAGATTTGAAACATGTTTTCCGATGTTGTAGCAAACATTCGTTTAAACACGGCCCTCAAGTTGATATAAGTCTTGACTGTTGATAACAAATTGATAATACTGCACAAAAAATTTACTTACTTTCGTTAGAATTATAATTATTTAAATTTATATATACATGTATATATATAATAAAGATATGCTTATCCCACGAAAATGGACGTTACAAAACGTGCAATATAATAAATTAATACTGCCCTGTATCTCAGAGTAATAGTATTGAGATCTAGACAATTTAAAATCTTACATTCTATACTTTAATAGAAACGTGTCATATTAACTTTAAACCATTTTACAGCATATCACCTTATAAAAACGATGTGCATAGAATAATGAAATAAGTAATCTAGAAATAAATAACAAACAAGTTAATAAATCATGTGTATACTTTCCAATTAGAAAAATAAAAAATTGGGCAAAGGTTTCCTGTACCCTATAAAAACGACTATTTAAAATTTTTTAAATTTTTAACTTCCCCACACATCCTCAAGGGAAATTTTTCCCAAACTAAATATGCACATGACCACGGGGCCTTACAAAACATAAATTAAAACCCTTTTATTTTTCAAAACAAAAAAGGGAAAAAAAATAGTAAAAACAGAAAATGATCATAGAACAAGGTCATTGCATTTAAAAGAATACAATAATAAAAAAGAATAAAATAATTTGACTTAAGGACAAGTCTGCCGACAATCATTTCTTTAAGTTAGCTCACCTACTCTAAAGGGCGTTCAAGAACATCTCCGACAACACTAGGTCAGTATTGTTAGAACTTAACAGGTGTATTCCTGGCATAATGCTCTTTTAAAATTATTTATTTTAAGTGGTTGGTTGTCATAGCAACCCAAATATAAAACAGTTAAAACTGCAAGGACTAGAGCTTAGATATTTGGCATGAAACATCGACTCGTGGTCCTCTACCAAATCTGTTATAACTATAGCTATAGGAATCATAATTGGACATGCTCTATATATGCAGAATTTCAGATTCAGATTTAAACTACGATATCAGTTGACCTAGATTTTGACCAATTGTCCCTATTTTTGTATCTATGACATTTAGTTTTATGCGAAATATACTTTCTACTATATTTGAACAAGATATCTATGTTTTGTATTTGGACTACGACCACAATATTAACTATAGAATTAAACTTTTATATCAGTTGACCTAGTTTTTTAACCAATGACCTACTCTTTTGTATTGAGAGCTACAGTATTGACATTTGGACTATTATCATAGCTTCAGATACAGAACTGAAACTTCATATTAGTTGACCTAGATATTAATACCATGACCTAGCTACAGGTACATGCACTGTTTCCAATGCACATTTAAACTTTTCAATGTTTACCTTTAGTCTGTATTGTTTCTAATTATTTCATCTGGTGTTGCATCTGATTTTTGAAATTCATTTATATACATTGTATTAAGATTATTCATTTTTGTAATGAATGCCTGCCGCCTTTAACAATTAGTAAAGTAATCAAATGAGTCGTGGCATGACAAAACCAACATAATGGGTTTGCGACCAGCATGGATCCAGACCAGCCTGCGAATCCGCGCAGTCTGATCAGGATCCATGCTGTTCGCTTACCAATCCTATTACGAGTAGAGAAACTGATAGCGAACATCATGGATCCTGATCAGACTGCGCGGATGCGCAGGCTGGTCTGGATCCATGCTGGTCGCAAACGCATAACGTTGGTTTTTGTCGTGACGCGGCTCATTAATATGTTTACATTAACCACAAACAAGAGGACAAGAATACGAAAACAACGTCCGGAAGACCATTTGGCATACAAGGCTATTGTTTATATTCTTCGTTGCCCCGCCCTATTCTAAGTTAAGTTCAACACTATTCTAAGTACCGCCCACAACAAGTGACCGCGTGGACCTGTTCTAAAAATAGCACGACGAATAATGTCATCACAGGAATGTATACAGATATGTCTAAAATACTAAGATATCAATATAAAACCATAAATTCAATCATGAATTTCCAACATTGTACTTCGTATCTTAAACCAATATTATGATATTTAATTCACAGTTCATATAATGAAGCAATGTATTTAATTTCAATGCATGTCAATGCAACTTTAGATGGGAGAATTTAATATCAATCTATCAATGAATAATAATTGATACGCCAAAGAGACATGATTATAATTTATGTTTTTATATTGCCCTGCTATAGTTATATGTCTACAATGTCATTAATTAAAGATTTACCCATAATTTTGACCGGTTTACCAAATTACTCGGCAGACTGGACAAAGATGATACACATGGGACAAAGCTACTTTGATACATTGACTGTTTAAATGATAGCCATGACAACAAATGAAGTTTTACTTTTAACTAAGATATGGGTTGCATTAACTACGATTTGATAAATACACACAGACGTTAAGTGACTAACCATTATAGGTGAACAAATAATGATTTATCTTTTTTTTAGGTTATGAATGATTCTTGCCTTTAACAAACATTTTTATTTTTATGATATGTTTATCTTATACCATTGAATGTTTTGTTAACCAAAGTGATTACGAATTAAAAATAATTTTAACAGATTATAATTTAGAAACAGATATGGTGAAAAGAATAAACAATTTAACATCTAACCCTTATGTGTTTTGAAGAATTTGCTTCAGTTAGGAGAAAATGATATAGAGCTACAATCACACATTTATTAGACAATTGTAAACAAAGCATTATTTTCTTGTTTAAAAAGTTTAAAATTATAAATAATGCTGGCTCTTGAGCACTGACGTCATTGAATTCAACTGAATAGCTATCATATATATAAATTATCAGAACAAAAGTCAACGAATTGAAAAAAAAGTGGAAGAAGGTAGATTTTTGACAATTTTGACATATTTCTTTTTAATTAAAAACTAAAATCCTTGAAAAGTTTATAAAAAAAAATCGGAAACGTTTTGAAAAAAATCGATATACACATACTTTCTTTTCACAATGGTTTGACAGGTAAAATTGTTTTGTCATACCATTGTTAAGCTAAGTAAATAATTATATATGTACACAGAATGCATATTTAACATGTATATGAAAGTTCTATTGATCACAGTAACTAATTATATATTATATGGCGGCCTTTTTTATCCTCCCAGCTGTAAGACCTAGAAAATAAAAGTTCAAATAAGTTCAAGAAACAGAATATTGAAATAAATAAATATTGAATTCAGTGTTAAAGATAATGCAGTTATATGTTATTTAAATTATTATATTATATATGTACTTAATATCATTATGAATACTGTGAAAGAAGTAGATTATTTAGTTTAACTTGAAAAGCTTGGATGACTCCAGATTAAAAGCAAAAAAAAAAAATCGCGACAACTCAATCTTTTGGACCGAGTAAATGATAGAAAAGAAAGAAATATGCTTGTTAATTGCGGAAAAAAATATTACAATATTACTAGTACCTTTTGAAGTTTGGCATCTATAACGGTGATTCACATTTTTTAACCTCCTCATCACTCGAGCTTTTGCCGTTGTTAAATGGAATAAGTTTTGCCTCTTCAAAATCGACGTGTCGTATTTTCTTTTTCTTAGTTGTATTCGATTCTGATTGGTCAGAAGTTGTCAAGGGCGTTAACTCGTCTTCAGTTGTGGAAAGCGTAAAGTTTACTTGCATAGGTCTATCTGACTTGCTCGAGGGACCTGAATCAGTTTTAATAACACTTTTATGAGGCATTTGTTCTTTCTTTGTATCACATTTCGGAGAACTTGGGTGCTCCTTAGATTTACTAGGAGTTTTATCATGGGGAACAGTTAAAAATTGCATATGTAATCCTTCCGATGTTGGTGATTCATCACAGACAGATGTTCTACTATCGGATTTTCGTTTCTTTCCTTCTTTTTCAAATACTTTAAAGAATTTGTTTCCTATACTACTGTCATCTCTTTTTTTATGAGAACTGTCCTCTGTAAAACTCTCCATAATCATCCCTAAGTTTGCACCAACACTTCCAGAACGTTTTCTTTCACTAAAAACAGGTGGGGCTAGCAGCCCAAATAGATTTGGCCCTGAAGGAGCTTTCCGAAGGATATTCCTAAACCTACTATCTACATGAACATCCTTCAAATTCTCCCTAGACCTAGATTTCCTTTCTTCTGTAATTCTGTGCAACTTTGCACTGAAATCTAACTTAAACTTTTTCTTATTTTTATTACTTTTCGAACTTCCGGAACTATCGTCGGAATCTTTGTCTTCGTCTTCACTAGCACTGGTTACGACTGGAGTCGACTCCAGTACTATTTCATTCAACAATCGCTGGTCTTCATCTAAATCAGCACGACTACTCACAATACTTGGATTCTTTCCGATCTTTGTAAGTCTTTCCGCTGCAACACTTTCCATTGTCCGTCTCATTACTGGATAGCGGTCAAGGACGTCTTTGAAATGCTCGACTGATAGTGAGTACAAATTTACATATGTTTCTGCTCTAACACTGGCGACCCGTTTTGCATTCGTTAGAAGACATATTTCTAGAAAGTGAAAATGGGAGAAAAAGCAATAATTGGATATGTTTTAAAAATATTGATGAATTCACACTTCTAATATATGACCTTAGATGTTTATCTTAATGATTGGAGTTGTATCTAGCGTATCCAGATTGCTTACCGTGCAACAGAACTTAATAACTTTACTGGAGAACATTAGACAAATGCAATCTTTACACCATCACTGTTACAAGTTACGACAAATTAATTTAAATACTCTATACTTAAACGAAACATATATAAGCATAAATACTGCGATATATTTAAAGAAGAAAATTGTTTAAATGTAAAATATATTGATAAGACTAACAATCTTTTATAATTTTGAGATTTTTTTTTGTTTGATCACGCAATAGTTTCTTTTTGATAAATTAGATATTTATTGTGATAAATGTTTTGCATCACGTATGTGCAATTATTTCCTTTATATATATTTCAAATATAAGAATCGTCTATGTATATATACAAAACAACAATGTAAATGTTATGTCGATGAAGCAATAAAATATTTTGTTCATTATTCAGCAAAATTGTTAAATCATTCTAAAGAGAAGCTTAAAAGAACGAACATTTTTTTTTATCAATTTGAATAATTAAAATATAGTTTATTTAAATTACATATTTTATGACCTGAAAAAACCCAAACAAACTAAGGGTATATACAGCCTTGGTAAGAGAACATCATTCTTCGTAAAAAGCACTTTTGTTATTAAATTTTATTATCCTCCAAAATTGGAGAACGTAACATATTTACAAAATATATATAGAAGAGAATAATACACATATACATAGTATAGTTGCATTGTAACATAAAAGCTAAATAACAGATGAAATTCTTTTACAATTGTAAAATAATGATTTATGGGTGTATATTGTTCCAAGGGTCCTGTAAAATATTCTAATTATGTTTAAGCCAAGACAGTGAACAAATATGATTTAGTAAGACACAGTTTGTGGCTTCAAGGACTATACCTCCAAAATAGGAGCCGTCTGACAGAGAAGTGGCTACTTCCCCCTCTGTTGTTATAACGTCGACAATACCTTCCTGAATGAAGTACATTTTGCTGCCCATTGTTCCCTCCCTGTAATTAAAATATCAAATATAATAAACAGATTGTGGATCCACCCCCTCACACCGTTTGTATGTCACATTTTACCAAATATGATGTACGGCTATACATGTAAAACAATACATATATGCTAATATATTATCAACATTATTAATGTCTTCATTTTGACTTGACTACAACAAAAATTGCCTTTTTGTTCATATCAAAATATTTATCGTAAATTTTTTTTATCTAAATCAATGTTAAACTGTTTACTGTCGGATTAACATGGCATATCAAAATTACACACTCACAGAAGAAAACTTCTTTATGCAACCATTTAGTTCTCTAGAAAAATGTGAAATATAAACGATGTTTTTTACTGTTATGGTTAAGATACTTGACTTCAAACAGGAAAAACTTAAAGAAATACATTAAGGAGAAGGTCTTAAATCCCCTGGCATGTTCTATGTGATCAATTTTATGTGACAGCTATGAGGCATTATCCATTGTGTAATCTTGTATTCAGACTGGATACTGTGCAATATCTCAAATGTTCGTGACTTGACGTTTGCCTATCTAAAACCCCATTAATCAAAACATTAAATCGAACAGATAAAGACATTTGATATTTCAAAATAAATATAAAACTGTCAATGCAATACCCTCCTGTAAATGTCAAAATAAACAAACAACACCATTGTGTATACATTATATTACTGCACAATGTGCCATCATTGCGTATTTACCTAATTTTATGAATTTTGCATCTACTTTTATTTCTTCAAGTTTTTAAAACAGAGAAGTTTTCATGCAAATAATATTAAAACAATGTTTCCCTAGATTAAGATGGCTATCATTCATATACCTGGTAGTTCAATTCAATCTTTAATTATGTTATTTACCCCTGACATGTGTATATTAGATCTTCATTGTTCATGTTCAGTTTTAAATAATATTATATGAATCATAATAACACATTTTTCATTGAAGATAACCACTCTTTTTTATAAGTAAAGCAAAATTTTAGAATATTTTTGCTTCTGGTGTTTCTAAAATCTCGAGATGTAGATATTTTAAAATATAACTTTACGTCATATATGTTAGTGACGTCATTACCTGATAATATAATCTCCTGCTTGAAAGACTTCAAACTGTAGTTTGCTCACCACTTCAGATACGAACTGAGGGTCAGCGTTTGTAAAAAATGGCACTGAAGCGACTAGAGATCTGCAGTTGTGGTTTATTACATCCTTAAAAAGAAAAGAAAAATATATAAATGAATCTCCGACAAAATACTCCATGTCAAATCTAGATCATATTATGGTTTTATATGACCAAGATGAACGATGACGCTTTCAACATATGGTTATTCTTATAAACACCAATACATATGTACAATGATGATGCAGGCCGTATGTATATATGTATATGCTCTTTATAGATTAAACGTGTTATGTTTTCAAGCGTTGTTCACACGTCTACGGGGGAATTATGTCTCGGAAAAATCGGTATAGTGGGTTATGTATGGGCTTGCATTTTCATGTAATGTCAGTCATCATTTTAGAATTAAATTTAACATAATGTTTCTTGGGACATTAGAGCTTCACGTAAAATGCTGTTCTTCAAATGAAGTTACCTTAATTAGATAGCGAGCAGAAGTTGCATGTTTTTATCTTTAGTGATGGTGTTATTTTCCTTGGATGGCTTCGTTAGTTTTTGTTTGAGTTAATTGTATTCAACAGAGGCAAATCTTCTCAGTGAGCAGAATAAAATAAACTTTCTCAGTGAGCAGAATAAAATAAACTAACAATTCAGGCGTTATTTGAGTCATTTTCAGAAATTTATTTGTCAATAAGTTATATACAGGTTTTCATCACATTACTATCGTTTAATAATTAGCGCTTATTTAATGCCTATGTTAGTTAATAGCCTATTTACCTACATCAGATTATATATTTTATAGAGCACATGCTTTTTTATATGAACATAGTGCATATACTTTATATAACTGAAAAAAGCGAATTCTAAATTCTACTTCTAAATACTAATTTTAATTTTATCAATCTTCACAACATGGACAGCAATGGCATGTCCATTATGACGATGATGGCAATGTTATTTGTTCAAGGCAACATACACGTTATTCTTATTTTTACTATTTTTTGATTTTGCCAAAACATTGTTTAAAATAATTTGTATTTGAGTATTAGATAATTGCTTGGAGTCTGTTTAGAACTTATACTCATTGTCAAATTAATGCATTAATTATAAATTCTATAACATATTTTATTTACTGTATGAATTTTCTGGAAATTGTAAGATTACACGAGTACAATGACACAAACATAATTATATACTAGTATGTTAAAGATACACACTCGCTTTGATAGACTCTGTTATGACATATAGTGGAAAGTGCAACATATTTTATTACCCTTATTTCGGATTTAGCAACATTAAATCTTCAACATTAAATGTATGGGAATCAATGATACATACAAATATATATAAAACATGGCAATTTTACAGCAAATCATAATCACACAAACATCCAACATCAAAATTTGAAATAATTTGAAATAAGATCAAGTTTTTGCAAGTTTGACATTTCCCCCATAATGTCGAACTTTTACTACAGTCCGTAAGGTGGTCTGGTTTTCAACGAAATCACTATTTTGGTCAATTGAAGGATTTAATCACTTTTCAATCATCATGTATATCATCTGACGTAAATATCATGAGAAGAAATAGAAAGTTAATGTCATCTCATTATTGATAGCTTACAACTAAAAGGTTGGCAATCAAACGCTCATGAATAAGAAATAGCAGAGACTGGAAGCTTAATGGACTTGATTTAAGTCTGAAAGATTGCATTTTATTTTGCAGTCTGTCACTGTATCCTGTTTATTTATTGGTAAAGGAACCAGAACTGACATATTGATAATTTAGACCTTAAAGCAATCACGTGTTTTTCATAATTATACACTGTTCCTAAAGAATCTATTCTGGGAAACAAAACAACTACATGACAGTAGCAAGAGCAAGAAGTCCCAAACTTGACTGAATTGTAAGGCAGAAAAAAATATTTCAGCAAATACCGTATATAATTTTATCATATAATTGCAATTATTGGTTTTATAACGTATTTTTTAAGCTTGTTCGTCATTGTATATTATGAATTAATGAACCAAGGTATATTTAATTTTTAATAAAGTGTTCAAGAGCTTTTGAATTATTTCCAACTTCTCAATATCTGCGTTGACATGTTAAGCCAGCTAAGAAGTAATTTCCTTATGAAGTATAAATAAAGCATTTAAGTCCATTGATATTAAGATAAATCCAATAATAAATATTTTTTTACATGATATGCACAAAGTAACTAAGAGCAGAGACGTCGAGTATGATTGAAAATGCGGAATATTTTTTTTTCCATATGTAAAACATACTCTGTCAGCTTTTAGTTTCTAAATGACAGCAAAGGCGTTGTTATAAGATCATGTAATTTAAATTTTCCTTTCAACATTGGATCTCTTGAGGTTGAATCCAGTAACAGAAAATTCAATAACGAAAAAATGTCCTTGTTACATTGACAGCATACCAATTTTGATATGAAATTCGATCATTTAATGATGAAAATTACAATAAACTCTACATCGAACACCCACATTTCCGAGATTTTCTAGTCCTTGTTTATTATTTTTTGCGTTGACGGGGAAAATGAAATATTGGCATTCGGCAATGAATGATTTTAGTTATTTCATGTTTTGTCCTCTAACAAGGATGGTGAGACCCCGCTGAGCAAGTTTGAAAATTAATGCAGAACTGTTTTACTTAAATGCATGAAAAAAAAACAACGAAAAACAAACAAACAAACAAAAACAAATTAATTTAAGATAAAAAGGGTTAAAAGAAAAAAGGGCACAAATAACGAGATAGATTGCTATGCCATACGAAAAAAAAAACAAAAAAAACAAACAAACAAAACAAAAAAAAACATATTCTAGCATGTATATATTAATCATGAATGATACAACTTCATGTTCAAGTATTTGTAAGCGAAACTGAACGATTTCTGCATTTTTTTAAGTTCAATAAAAGAAGAGAATACTTTAATGGATTGCAGTAAAAAATGAATCACTATTCCCCGTTTACTTTAATTGAACTCAAAAACTCTATAACCATAAACCAAAGACAAAAACCTGAAAGAGAAAGACAATTAAAGAATAAAAAAAACACTGCGCAAACCATCATCAATTCTTAGCAAGCTTCTAATTGAACGGTTTGTTGAGTTAATGAATTGTATTTGAGTCTTGCGATCCCACACGAAAGTACAAACTACCGGAAGAACAATGAAAGTATTTGGCAAGAATACTTGTGTTATATAACTTTGAAAAAAAAACAACACGCAAATTGGCTCTCGATAAGTAAAGTTAAAATCAAGCTTGCTACTCAATCCGTACTTTTTATTATTTGTCAATTATATTGTTAATGAAATGTTTATAAATAAAATAGTGTTGTTAAAACTAAAATCTTTTTATCAGGGAAACCTAGTTCAGCTTATCTTTGGGCATCAGCAATGTTGTAAAGGCACGTGTTAACATTTGATATTTGAACTGCATAAGTACATACGTCGCGCAAAAATAAATAAGAATCTTGCACCGTCTGTCGGTCTAACCCGAAGGTAACATCTAATAAATGTTTATTTGTATAAAATAGGGGTTCGTCTTGTATTTAAAATGCTTTTCACAAACTGATACTATAAATGACAATGCATAGGAATAAATGTCATCTCTTTGTCGATATAAAAAGTCTTAAATGTTGTCAATGAAATCCTCGTCCATAGGAAATATCTGAGAAAGACATGGATCTTAACTGACCTTGTGTAAGGTAAACACAATCTTATTATGTAGGTTGTCAAATACATCTTGCAAATTAATAGCTAGATGAAAATAATTGCCATGTTGGTGATTAAAAACTAACAGAAGCAGAAAATTGCTCAACACTAAATTCAACAGAAAGGAATAATTAACAAAATGCATGATATGTCAGAGTTATTTATCTAATTGAATTAGATAAATTACTCTGACATATCATGCATTTTGTTACACAAACCGATTTTCAACGTGTAAATTATACAGATGATATGTGTTATAAAAAGTAGATCAGTCACTGAAAACAAGTAAAACAATATTAAATGTATTGTTATAATAAAAACTGGACAATAACACAAGCAATACAATGTATTTCCGGTATGTGACAAGTAACTTAAATATTATATAAATCCGAAACTCTCAATTTTTAATATCTGAGAGCTATGACTTGGTGTTTCTGCTGAAGAGTTTAATCTTATATACATATATTAGAGCTATTCCACGGGTTTTGCATGAAATTATTTTTTTTGGCAATAGTAAAGGCAAAGGTCGAACATTTTAAAACTTAAAAGGTTAATAGGATATTAAATTAAATGAATATCGAATGAAATCAACAGTAAAAACGATTTTAATTATGTAAATCGGGAACGAAATACAAGAATTTAATAATGTTAAATAACAATAAATTCACCATCATTTTACACCCACATCTATTGTTTTATCACGTGTTGCACAGAAGAGGAAAACGTGAAATATTCACATCAATATTCTAGAACAGATTGTTCTGTTATACGTATACTTTAAGCTGAACAAGATCTATACATAGATAACAATAGTTACTTTACTCATTTAAATCAGTATCTTATGAAAATGTTAAAGATGAAAACATAAAATAATCAACAAAAATAAATAATATATCACGTCTTACGACAGCACGGGCATTTATAAGTCTGCTTCACAGGCAAAACTCGTTTGTACGCAAAATCTCTGACGTTGCTAGGGTGTAGCATGTCATTCTTGACAACACGATCAAACCGAGCCATTTCATTTTGTTTCTCTCTAATAACGTCCCCTTTTCAGAATCATTTTGTATAACTGTCTTTATAATGCAATATACAGATATGTCCACGAAATAGCCCTTTGACGTTTATTTTTCATTCTTGGTTCCTAAATGTATCTATAAGGTAGTTGTAATATTGGAAATATAATTAATCTTATTTATTGAATGGGCTTGAAATGTTTTATTGACGACGGGCCAATGCTCCAAGAAAGTCTTGTGATGCATGTAATGGTGTTAGAAATAAAATAACGGACTTTAGATAACTAACAATATTTTCCATGCTCACATATAGTCGGGAAAATAAAGTTAGTTAATGTCAAATCATTATTGATAGCTCAAGACTTAATGTTTGGCGGTAAAATCCTCATGAATTAAAAATTATCGAGAGAAACTACAGTGACTTGATTTTCAGTAATAATTACTTTGCGCTTTGCACGCTGCCAAATTCATCCTGGAACAACCCTGACACATAAATAATAAAAGTACAGAAAGTAACACATTTGCAAATCAAACTATATTCAAAAAAATTTGAAAGATAGACTAATTCATTGAAGAGAAATGCAAAGTGTTCTTAATGATATTTTGTATTTTGTCTGCCACTTGTTTGCAATTTCATTATTTAACAAGAGATTAAAAACGAATTAAGTGTTGTCATATTTTTCTGGTCCTTCGGGAACATTGATTTCTGCACATTAAGTGTTGAATATTGAATACTTCTAAGCCGGAGGGGGGTGGGGGGTTGGTGCTAGGGGATGTTGCACTTTTCCGCCATTCCTCATGAACAGACTCAATCAAGCCGAGTCTGTAATTTACATGTAATTTTGTTGTTTTGGTTGCTTCTGAGGGATCTCCCATGTTCAAGATTTGTATAAAACCCAGTAGCTGCTTTAAATACGTTTAAGAAACATGTTCTTTGTCTACTGCATGATTCGCCATCAAACACTGGTGTATATTGTGAATTTGGAAGGGTACCTTTGTTAATATTACGTAAAATACGCATTGTACATAAAATACTGAACAATCTGATACTAATATACAACAACTTGTAAGTAATAAATATTTTTGGTTGATGATACTGACTTACGTATATAGGACCAAGATAATCAACACTGGTTATCGGAAATTGGTAATTTAACACAATTAGAGACTCATAAGATTATAAAATTTTACGATAATTAAATACCTTTCTTGTGTAAAACAATCTAAAGTTAAGAATAGCTGTGTTACGTTTTAGATGCTCAGAACACAGATTTATGACAGAAAAGGCTAGATTTAGGAATAATGAAAAATATCAGAGAATTTGTCTTTATGTGCCTCTGTTAGCTGATAAGCAATGTAACTGAGTACTTGTTTGGTGAAAGCAAAACAACTTCGGTCTAGGCAATATTATGCTATGAAATAAGACAGATGGTAACAAATTTATATCACTATTATATGGACGAAAACAGAGTATGTGTGTAAACATGAATGAGATTCAAACAGAATGCTTTTTTTACTGTTATGCCAATTTTATAGTGAAATAAGAAAAGAACATTTATTTAACCAAACTATTATTATTGGCTTACATTAAATAAATTTATATTTTAATGATAAGCATGTAATTGATAACAGATTATCTTAGTATATATTTTTCGCCAATGTTAATAACGTAATATATTGATATTATTTATGGCATGATATTATTTATAAAAATGTATTGAAACACAATGTATTTGTAGTGTTAAATAAAGTAAAAATGCTATTGTACAAATGATTTCTATTCAGTTTACACCGTACTTTTCTACTCGTCACTTTTTTGTGGCGATGAACATTGTAAAATGTTTATGCCTTTTGAAATAAATCTTGAATCTTGTTGAGGTCTTTTTCTTTTCTTATGAACATCTATTTTTTACTTATTAACAAAAGAGCAGATATTAAGGGATGTGTGACACTTAATCATATCCCTTACTAACAACTGTCTCAATAAAAACGAATCTGCAATTTTAACTATACTGTTTTTGTTTTTCACGCGCCAAATTTGTATAACATTTATTGTTTGAAACATAAAAGGATACTGACGTTTTCCTTCTAACAGTCATTGTTTCCTTATAAAGCTTTGGGTTTTTTTGTCCGGTATTCCTGTTTCCATGTCAATTTTGTGTCATCCGAGTTATTGATATTCTATGCAAGGTTGTAAAGTGTGCAGTATCACGGTTTCTGATGTTTTATTATACAGGCATTTAAATGTAGATCGAAGACCAAGAGGGAATTGTAAAAATAATTAAATGATGTAATATGACATTGTAGAAGTGGAAGTCAATACGTACATCAATATTTAAAAAAAGAAATCCTTTACTTATTGACATAAATAGTAGGGATTATTCTAAAAATTAAGATGAAAGGAAATTTCAGGATTTAGCCAAGACGAATTTAGATGTAAATTAGTCTTAATTTATAAATGCTACATTTACATGTAGAAGACGTACATGAATCAGTCAGTGAATGTAGTTTATGTGAACCCTATATTTTATATGTTTACTTTAAATGTCATCTATTAAATAATAAAATCATATAACCGCGGTCCTTACGTTCAAAATTACTTGGTCTCGACTTCCAGAAGAAACAAGAAACTTCCATAGGCGCCAAAGCCGTGTTCTGGATTAACGAATATTCGACTGGGACAAACTATGTCGAGTGCATCACAGACAGTTTCCACAAATATTCAAATTTGAAGGCAATCGTTCACAAAATGTCTGACAATTCATGCAATGGCCCGTAATGCACGCTAAATGCCACAAAAATGGATAGGTTTAGCCTAAAACGACCAGCAATTGTGAGAAGATTGATTACATCGGCTGAGGCAGCAAACTAAATTGACTTGAAAGAAGTCGATGAAGTTGCATGCTATATTTGTTTTGTTTCAGCTATCATGTTAGCTTTGTTACCAGCATATAGCCTCGGCGCAGCTTGATTTAAAACAAAATGAGAGACAATTTTCCACCAACCTACCTACTTCTTCCTGCATGCGAATCTCAAGACATGAATAGTGATTACAAGAATGTATTAGAAGAATGTATATTACAATCCAATATATTGATTACGAATGTGAATGGGGGTTTTTATTTGGAAATACAAGAACAAAGATCAACAACAATGGGAGACATTCAATGAACGCAGCCCTTAACAAATAACAAAACCCTACCACACCGAACTACCGGCACGGAACCCAGCAAAGACATTTAATCAACACAAGAACATTTCAATATGAGGCTTTTTTCATTTGCCAGCTATTGGGACTCCTAAACTTTAATACACGTGCTTTAACACCAACACGTTGCAATTAAATTTGAATGTTTCCAGCTGCTCTTTAGAAGGATATTAAAACTTAAATCGTTCCTCATGCCAAAAAGAAACAATGCATTTATAATACTTATCTCAATTATATCGATAACATACAATTGAGAATGAATGGCGGCCGTAAAAACGGATGAAAGGTTTCAACTTAAAAATATCGAAAATTATAATCATTAAAATGGTTTGTAAATAAGTAGAGTTTACAACATGTTATAAGTACTGACTGGTTATGTACTGACTAAATGTCGTGGTAAATTCATATCAGAAATATCGTTAAACAATGGAAACAGTCTGACATTTACCTGACGTAAACATTCGTTGAGTTCTCCGAGAATCCTCTCCTCGTCAAACATTTTCCCCTGGTACCTGTGTTCATAATACTCGGCTACCTTTTGTCGCAATGAACGAGGTAATTTTCTGTATATCATATATTCTTCAACTTGTTTAAACTGTAAAACGTAAATGCAAAGGTTATTTTATTTTTAGTATCGCCTGCTCAAAGTTTGAGGTGCAATATTTTTGTCACGATAAGTGTGACGTTCTGGAAACAAAATGTGTAACAAAACGTGTCGTAACTCAGGCTACATTATTTTAAGAAAACGTTTTGCATTACCATAAATCACTGAGATATATGGCATAGAGAAGTTTTAATTAGATCTACTGCACTCAGTTACCTACCTTCTCATTATATAATCGTCTTGAAGTATCAAACGACTGAATTATGGTTGTAGTGTGACCTAGAAACAATGCATAGCAAGTGGCGCCACTGAGCATGCTCAGTATGGTCAACCACGTGTCGGTCATGTTTTGTGGCGGGAAACGACCGTATCCAATACATAACATATGTGACAGGGCTTTAAATAGAGACCATGTGTACTGATGAGCCCAGTGGGCATCCTGAAATAAAGCAAAAACAATTTTAAAAATAAGACCAGAAATTACGGTGAACGACCTGGCCTGCTAAATAAATAAACATTGTGTCGTTACAACCATTTAGAAATAAAAGAATGGATTATAATGTCATGATATCTTTGATAGACCATATAAAAGACCATAAAAATAATATCATGTAATGCAGTATAATGTAGTATGTCGCTGATAAAGTTTCTTTTTTTACAAAACAGGTATTACATTGGTACTTAGCATTCTCAAATAAAAAAATATTTTTTTTGCCATCAAAACATCAGAAAAAATCTAAAACTTTTTCTGTGTGGAAACCAGCAACAGTACATATTTGAAATAAATCATCTAAAAATCCTGTACGAAATCAGTAGACATAATATTTTGAATTGTCTTATGATCAAAATGAATGAAATTAAATCGGGGAATGACACAATTCGTTAAAAAGGGCAAATCAAGGACAATTCATGAGAAGTATTTTTCAGTGTGTTAATATGTATAAACAATTGCCATCTATTACCAGATTGAGATACTTATGTAAAGTTTTGAAGGAGGGGAAAACAACATTTTGATACTTTTGATTTCTCCAGACGCATTTCTGAACGCATATGTTAAAGTTTTTTTTTCAAATTAAATGAACAATCGTTCATGTTTTCGTTAACGTCACTGTTATAAAATTGAACAAGTTCGTTTCAGTTTTTGACTTTGACATGTGTTTCGCTGCTGAAGGAAGTTCTAAATAAAACTAACATGTTTATATAACACACATTCTGTAGATCAAATATTGACACTTTTATATTAATTTACTGTTTTTAGAAAGAATAATAACGATCCATTGTTCCAATATACGTAAGCAAAGACTAATCGATACACCTTTACAAATATATTTCTAAACATTACGTATCTTTAAACTTTCATTTTGTATTGATATTTTTAAGCAAACATTTATATCAAAAGTCGTATTGAATGGCATTTAATTAAAAAATTGAGGTATTGGAAACACCGTGCTTATTCCTTTTACCGCTTGAAATGGATAAGAAATCTTCAATAAGTTTTTTGTTTAAATATGAAAATTTCCTTTATTTAACTACATTTAATGTCTATGATATATACATAAACCATTGGCTTACAATAAAAATAAGTAAAGTCAAATATTTTTACTCTCCTTTATTACTATTATAAACGTAAAAATTATTTTCCACTTATATATATGTATATTCTAAAGTAAGTCTTAAAGTCCATCCTAAGTACACATAGTGTAGCTACATTCTTCCTACCCTTGCAATAACTTCTGTTTAAATACTTCAGTTATCTAATTGATTAACGTAGCTTCCTGCTATAATAATTTTTTTAAGAGAAGAACTAAAACCCAATCATGAAGGTGATAATGATAGAATCTAACAACAAAACTGCTTATTAAATCAAGCTCTTATCTAATAATCGTCTAGCATATCGCTCACCGACATAATGCCTTATTAAGATTATATCAAAATACGTATACTAGTATTGTCTCCTACATTATTAAGTATGGATCCTACTGGAAGTCATATACAATTAATATCAGCCGCATTTTACGATGTTTGCCTTCGGCCGAATTTTGACATTTTTGGTTATATTATTGAAACGCAGTTGCATAATGTCGCATATAGTATAATTTATAAATTTCTAACTTTACTAGGCTCGGCTTGACCCAGACTGCCTTACAGTGCAAAAATTCACATACCCTTTCTCTCATATACTTATTACATACTTTACAAATGCTTGCTCAATTCACATGCATATCTCTGTCTTGATCAAAATATAAACCCAAAGGTAGTAAATCTAGTTATAATTATTATATGTATCAGGGAAGGTTTCCAAAACTGGCATCATAATCTTTTGATTACAATTTCTAGCTCGTTTGCAAGCTTGATGTTAACTTGGTTTACGTATCTTACTTTACGACTTCTAATAAAGAAATATAAATAAATACGGTTTGCGGGTAAGTTTTTAAAAAGATTTACCTGCAGCTCTTCAATCGATACCCAACAATCTTTAGGGAAGTCTTGTAGAGTTGGGACGAGAAACTGCAGACAACCGTTCCAGTGTCCAAGTAAAAACATAAGACAGATAAGGTTGAAGATCCGCATAAACTTACCAGCAACTGCTAAAAACTAGAAAACAAACTAAATTATACAAAATATCTTAACTTCGCTTAAACATGACATTAAGTTAAGAAGAAATGTAAGCTCTCGTAAAGTTTCGTGACGGTTGTCCGAGCGTGCTGACACTTCGCTGAACATTTTATTTATTCTGCTATTATATATGAATAGCATGAGTATGTCACCAGCTGCTCTATAATAATAATTTAGTACCGACATATCTACATTTAACAACAGAAATTATCACATGTACGCTGGGCTTAGTAAGTGTCACAATGTCAGGAAACTTTACGAGAAATCCATTACTTATACGACTATTAAAGAAGTAATTAAATGATTCATTTACATACAGTATGGATTTAATTCAAAATTCATTTTAGACAAGAACAATGGGCGATAGGTTTTGCTAAACATGCGAAAAATGCTTATTGAACAGATGCAAAACGTTTGTATAATCCAAATTACTATCTAAATGAATTGGTCCATAATGGAGGGTGTGTAATAAAATAATTATGGTATCATGCATGTAACAAAACATGGAAGATTTATGCATGGATGTTATTGGTAAGTGTGAGATACAAAATCCAACACATAGCAGATAATAAATTGTTCTAGAACAAAATATCTTTAGTCATCATTAAACCGTTCATACAAACATTTTTTGAAGAAATATTTTATAAGAACATCCAAATGCTACATTCATATTGATTTATCTTTTTTTGAAAAACTTATCGGAAATCAAATGTGCTCATTGCAGACCAATTCACGTTTAGAAACTATCAATATCCCTTTTGAATACATGAATATACATGATTATAATTCCATCGTAAATGTTTAAGAAAATATGCTACATCATATTTTAGTTTAAACATATCTTATTTCAAACATTTGCACAAAAACATATTACATGAACATACAATGCATATAATTACTTACATAATACAATGATGAAGGATCAGATCTGAAAGCATACGATGCTTATAAAGGTCTTTTCCTATCATGTAATGCATTACTATAAATTAGCTAATTTTACACTACCATCGCCCATCAGATATTTAAAAGTACATCACACTAACATGCTTTCTGTACTCACAACACAGTAACTTCAACGGATTACATTTTTGTTCGGTATTGAATAAGGTAAAAATATGGCTGGCATGCTCCGTGGTATTGTCTAATGTTTTTAAACCTCTATTCCCCAGTAATTTCAAATGTTCTTGAGTGGTTATAGTATGGTAAAGATCGAAACTGTAGAATTGTTGTGATGTTCAATAAACACAAATATGAATAAGTTTATTTATATTGATTTTTTCTTTAAATCAAACAAGAAATTGTCAGTCATGTCGAATATATTTTTTTTCTTCAAGAAAATAATTACTCTTGGTGGTAAGATGTGAAAAGATCAAATAGCGGAGAAGATCAAACCATATTGAGACTTTATAAAACTTTCAGGAAACTATATAAAGTAGAACCATATTGTATGAAAGTGTATGGTAAGAACATAAATCGGCAAAGTTTAGAAGTAGAACTGCTCCAATTAATATCGAAATAGGAAGCTATACAAAAACACATCTCGAGTAAAGAAAATGTAACTTTTATAAGATCATAGGCAAAAGTGTTGTTAGAAATAAAAAACAACAACATGTACTGCTATTATTTTATCAGAGAAAACTATAATGAATTAAGCTGCAAAAGCCTGTTATTTTATTTTAGAAAAACGGAAAGAAAACATCATGTATCGTTAGCCATTACTGATTTCAATATGATTTTATGCACTATTTTTGAATGATAGTAATAACTTTGATAGTGGTAAAGGTTTTGGAGTTTTGTTGCATTAACTTTTCATCTTTTACATATGTGCTTTAGTTCTAAATGTATGACAGGAACCTTAATTAAATGTTGTCATATATTTGATATATTACATTTGCTTGACATTAACAGTGAATTTCACTGCCTTCTATACTTCTATTGTGAGTAACCATGTATTCTAATGTTATAGTGTTTGTAATTTGTATAATTATACAAAGTTTCAAACATTTATGTATACATGGATTAGACTTAAATAAATCAAAAATAGATAGAATAGAGTTTGAAGAGTCAGTGACTGTTAAAAAGAGCATCGAACTTGTGCAAAGTCCAGTCCAGCCTTCTAAAAGATTGCAGGTATTACTCCGCCCATATGCTTAAGTCAAATATTTTGAGAAACAAAAATGTAATTGCTAGAACAATAACACTAAAGCGGCACTAACGTCTGTTAACAGAAATATTTCATGCAATTTGTAATATTTCTTGTGCTTTAAAATATGGACATGACTTTAATTCATAATTATTATAAAAAATGAGTTACTAATTCTCAGACTGACTTACATTTATTTTTTCAAATTTAATTACATGCACTAAAAACACAACTATAGCGTAATATCAGTACGATTAAGTTACTATAATAATATTTATTTATAAACTTAAAATCAAATCCTTACTTTTTATTGACAAAAGAAATAACGGGGGAAAAACTGCTTAACAAATAACAAACTAACACACTTCTTATAAATATCGCTAATCACAACAAATATGGTGAGTAAAAGTAACACAAACAAGAGATTTCTAAACGGTTATTCTATGAGTAAAGAACTACATTTGACGAAAACCAGATGATGAAGTTTCAAAGCCAACTGATAAAATAAGCGGACTAAAATGACAGTTCAAGGCCGGTAAGAAATAACAACATTCAACGTTTAGCATGCCGTTGGATGTACGTAAATTTGTAACATACAGTTATAACAAGATTGTATAAAATGTAATAAAAGTAGAGCAAAGAATTAAAATCATTGAAATAAGTGTTACAAAAGTATTGTCATCTCGAACCATTCACGATCAGAACATTTTTAATGTACATGCAATGCTTGCATAATGCTTAAATACAAAAACTGTAATCTGAATTTTAATAAAAACACATTTCGTATAACAGTACATAAAATACGTGCTGAACATTTATGGAACGAAATGACAATCCTTTGAACATGTGTATGTTGTTTCCGACCTTGACCTAGAAGCAAGCTTAACCTAGCAAATCTATTTATAGACCACCCAGTTAGCTAAATGTGCATATATTTGATGAGAGATGCAAAATTACTTTTTCTAGACTATAACCAAAATATTTCAACATCCCATAATCTATCTAGCTATTCAGAAAAGCAAAATGCCTATAAGACGAACACAAATCAATTAAAGTAACACAAGTAAATGTGTAATATCATTGAATTATTCTTAATGCCGTAACCTGTTTATTATATCAAACTGAAAATTACACGTTTAAATATTTTTCTACAGGAGAAAACAACACATTTTCTAGCCTTATGAAGAATATAAATTTGGTGACGAGAAACGTTACCTTATTAAATGAACAACATTTATTAACCAAGCCTTACAATAAACTATTATATTTAACAAAATGATTTCAATGACCTCACATGTAATTTAGATATTGTAACATATTATATCTGAAATACAGTATTATCTGAAATTTACAAGATTTCTTTTTTTCAAAAATGCCGTGATTAATAAAGCGAAACCAAATTAGCTGTACAAAGCACTGGAAAGCGTAAGTGATTAATGAGTTTATAGCACAGGAGGCAAACCGTCGGCTAATATCCAGGATGTTTGAAATATCACCAAAAGAGCCTAAGGTCTTGAGAAACCTTTTTGGAAGCACTATTGAAATGTCATTATTTCTCTTCATTTTTTATGAACACAAAAAACCTCTAGAAAACCGCTTGTCTGTTACGGTTCGATTTTTAAAAATACCAAGCATTTCCTTGGATAATAAAAAAGAAAATTCATTGTGAAATTTTCCTATAGTTTCTTTAACCTTTCCAATTACTTAAATTTCACAATTATCAATTCTAAAACGTTTTTTTTTTCATTTTGTTTATTTATTTGTGCATATTTTATAAAAGTGACTTGGAAATAATGACAAAGAATCCAATTACTGAGAATCATATAGACTTTAAGTAGATCTCCCGAATTAGTTAAAGTATAGGAAATTGTCTCCGTCTCCTTTCTGGTTTTAGAATAGCAATGAGCTGTCATCTATGACTACAGTCAATCCTATGTATGAAGACTACACAATAGAGACACATATCTTATTTCTTGCTGCTAGGAAAACTTGTCTCTAGCTCTAATGTGCTTTAACGGTTAATCTTTTAGAAGTTATGATAATTGGATGCTTGGAATAGTTTTCAATTGCACTCTTAAATTATAATTTTAAGGCTTTTATTGTTAACCTAAGACACATTTTACCCATAGAGCTATATTCACACAATGAAATGTGTTTCGTATTTCTATCTTAGGTAAATCATCCATCCGTACAACAGAAACATGTATGTTTTCAGTACAAGGTTGTCTTCATCAAAGGATTGACCGTAAAGCAGAATGAAATACCTGACTGAACTTGCTTCTACGCAAGGCCGGAAACATATTCATTGTTCCACGTAACATACTGACCTCTTCCCATTGTTGAACATAACGGACCAATCGGGAGAGCCGTAACAAACGTAATAAGCTTAGCAGCTTTGCAAGACGAAGCATGCGCAAGGCACGACCTGAAAAATGTGAAAAATAATATGACCACAAGAAAAAATACATGGACGTTGATGTGAACATATTTGACAAAAGAAAACAGTTCTCACAATCAGTATATTGTAAACATGCTCAGTAAAGAATGATTGAGTTGCAGAAAGTTAGCTGAATGATTAGTCATTTCTTCATATTATTGATTATTTGACTGGTCAGCCGATTTGGATTGTCTTTACTATATTGTATGCCAATTACTAGTAATTTATTTCATACCCAACAGTATATGAACAATTTCTTTTAGTAATAGCTCATTCTTTAAGGCTTGCATGTTCTTGTGACGTTTATGAAACACAGTAATGTGCAAGCGTTATACAGATGCATAAAAAATAAAGATAATAAGTTCGTATATACATCTATGCATTCTTTAACAAACATTATTCATCTAATGGCGGCATTAATAACATTTTCTCATTTTTCACTCACAAAAAACATGTAAAAGGTACTATGATATTTTACTGGGCGTCAATCAGAAAAGGCCAGAAATATTGACAAATTGTCTGTAATCTGTGCACTACGAATAAATTTGTTTCTCTAATCGTCACATGCCTATTGTGTTTCATTTTTTGATTTGTGCTAATGTGAATTTATTAGATATGATAGACACTTCTTGAAAGAAATATTGCTGACTGTGCACAAATTACACTATATGGAGTTTCTGAAACTGTATTGTATTTTATTCGTTTTTTACATACTTTTCATAACCCGCCAAATATTGAGTCGTATATTTTCTTTAAAAAGACATTCATGTTCTTAATTACACATTTTGGAAGTAAGAATGTCACTTTCTAATGGAAATAAATATAAAGCAATATTCTCCCTAGGATCATTCTTGTGGAATAGCTAACAATTCTGTATGACTTTGTTGCTTTACATTGCATATACTATTAAGGCAAAGACAATAATGCAAATTAACCTCGTCGCAAAATACATGCATTTTGTTTTCAGACAAAAAAACACTTTAATTAGTGATTTTGTTCATAAAGGACACAACACAAAATACTTATATTGCATGTTTACCAGTTTGATAGAAACAAACATTGAGTTTAATTATTGTGCTTTAAACATGTACAAATAATGGTGAGGGGTTGGTATATATCAGAAGATTGTATTGGGTAGGGATGGGTAAAAAGGAAACAGGGTAGAAAAAGAAAGAACGGCCACATTTTAATGTGCTTATTTTTGCATTCTGATTCAATCTTAAGTGCTTTGATTTATGTTACATACTTGGAGAAGAAATGAGGTTATCTCCTTGCAGTGTGTATGCATTGTATAGTGTATCAAGGATAATTTTATTTTGCAAAAACAGGAATGTGTTCATTGTATAAAACGCTGTTTTTTTGAAAAAATAAATAATCGAACTTATTTTGCACTGTGCGTGCTTTCTCGTCCGGGAATGTACTGCATATTTATACTTTACCTATATAACTTCCGGCTATAAAATCACGTGATGAACAAAGGAAAGTATGGATAAGAATGGTGCATTAAAATGAACCTTTGGCAGATTAATTTATAGAGAAACAAACGTTATTGGCCACAGTACAAAAGTAAGAATACAATTATAACTATCAACCATATCAAAACATTAGCAATTAAAGTACTTTATTCAGGGTAAATATTTTTTAGAAAGTTTATTCATTTCATTTTTACATTTGAAGGAAATTGAGAATAAACATATGTGCCTCTCAATTTAGCATGTGTACAATATAAATATGCAATATAACATTACATAATAGATTATATGTATAATAATCATTTTACAATTGACTGCTGAAACAGTCATTGTTTGTACAAAGAATTTCTAATTCAAAAGCAAGTTTAACTATAGAAGCAGAAGTGTTGTATGTCTGAGACATAAAGAGAGTATGCGAGGTTTGTGTTTAACTGAACAATTGTTGCTGTAAATATCATTGTTTTTCGTTCACTAAACCTCATATTTATTTTCAGAAAATGTACCTCTAATTATCTATCTTTTAGTGAATATACCTTTAATTATTTAATTTTCAGTAAACGTATCTCTAATTATTCATTTTTTTATCGGTACACGCTCCTCTAATTTTCTATGAAATATAATTAACCGTTATGTTTACCAAACTCCTTGAAAATTTGCTAATCAGAAGTGGCAAGGGTGCTTGTGTGAGAACTACAACAGTTTTAGAGGCTGCAACTAAGGTATATTTGAACTGTATGTCATTGGGTTTAACATAAAATAAAACAGAATCCCTAAAGAACGCCAAAACGGCAAATTTGAAAATGTTGCAGGCTCGGTTTGACTGTTCATAGGCAGTAATGGTAAGTGGAAGTTACTGTCCACGCCCGGTAGCACAAGATCAATGTTAACTCACAACGACACTATAATGGTCATATGTCGACTCTTCATCTTTACCTTTCGTGCATAAGGTATCGTGCATTTTTTCAGACACGAGCTACCGACTGAGTCAATGGTTATCTAATAAGCGTTCTTCAAATTGAGTGTTGTACTATAGGGAGTTTTTATAAACAGATAAAGTGTTTTTTTCGGAATTTCCGTATTGATAGAAGTGCTATGTGAAAAAATTATATCTTTTATCTGATGCTATATATGCTGTGCACCTCTGTGTATCTATTATTGTGTAAGAAGTGTATCTATTATTGTGTAAGAAGTGTATCTATCTATAAGAATTATGTCAATGCCATAGTATCTGAGCTAGTATCTAAATTATACATGTACAATAGATTTGTCATGCATGTGCAATTATTTATCATCAATTATATATGACTATAAGACAATATGCATGTGCGTACTGGGCAGTAACATTAATTATCATAGATTAAAATATATATCTTAACAAAATATTAAAACTGACCGCACATTCACATATAAAACATGTACTCTTACATAAAAATATCTCAACAAATTAATTCTGCGACAACGTTGATATCATTTACACATTAGTTTCTTTTCGGGTGATTTGCTAAATAATATATCAACCTAGCTAGGTGCTTATGTAATTTGAATATGTGTTCGTTGGTCACTAAAGCACTAGTAATAAGCACTCATAAATATAATTTGTCTTTCAACTAAACTGCACCCATATCTTAATAACTTACATATTAAAGCTTAGTAGCTATTGATAATTTTTTTAAACGAAATTTAATCTGGTTCGTTATAATCAGTAAACACTTATTTGTTTATTGTTAATTTCCATGATCTATTTTGCAAATTTGCAAAACAGTTCTATAATACTGTATTCCTAGAAAAGATTTCGCGCATTTTAAGTTAGCGTTTTTCGCGGTAGGCAAGATTCCGCGAATCTTTATAGCCGCGAATATGTCACTTATAACAAATCCGCGAACATTTTTAGCTTCAACCAAATAAAAACATAAACATGCAGAATATTTTTTATAATCTTCTTACACAAAAAACATTTGAACACAGGTCTGTAAAGAATTATGTATGTATGTTATAGATACCTGTTTGAACCCTGAAGAAATGTCAATTTTTAGTAATTATCATGCTTATTGACGTTATTCGCTAGTCACGGTGCATACAAAATCATTTACAGTTTTCGTACATTGAATGACTAGGATTTTGTTTGCTTGGAGTAGGTGTTATCCTTTGTTAAAAGTACAATAGCGATCAAGTGCTTCATTGATAAACAGCTGTGATGTTGTTATAATGAAAGCGATGTACAGTCCGATACTGTAAAAAAATTAGGTATCGACGTTTTGAAGATTAAGTCAGTTATGATTCAAATGACAATAAAAGCTTACTTAATCTTACTTAATCACACAGTGAAGAAGATACTAGGGAAATAAACGGAACAACCGTCCGTATTCGACTAGTCATTAGATGAAAAGGTATCAAGTAACGTAACGCTTTGGAGCGACTAAAATGTCAAAAAGATAAAAGAATTAAAAGTACCTAACAGGCAAGGTCATGCATCAAAAACGTAGCCTCCATTAACTGTTATTTTGGCCGTAGCGACTTAATATTCGCGGAATTCGCGATTAATACAAAACCGCGAAAGTTTGTCTCCGCGAAAATGTCGATGTTGTGAAATCGCGAAATATTGTATCCGCGAACATTTCTAGGAATACAGTAATTTACATTACTATTTCACATAAAATAATTAACGTTATACTATTCCACATGATTTTATAATAACTTACGTTACACTTGTTCTCATATAATAATTTACGTTATACTATTACACATATAATTATTTATATTATACTTTTTCACATATAATAATTTAGGTTATAATTTTTCACATATAATATGTCTGTGATTTAAAATTCAACAGAATTATAACATCTATGTCAGGATAATATCTCTATAAAGGTCGCACATATATATTTTTAAAAACTAGTCTAGATCATAGTTATAAACAATATAAATACAGTAAATGTGTGATTTAGAGCGTGTTTTTTTCATAATGTTTCATAACAGAACTTTTTAGATCTACCTATCTTTCAAGAAGCATCATGACGTAGCCAAATCTAGTACTTCAGCGTCTTAGAATATATCAAAAATCCTGTAAATACTCGGTATTATCTCTTTCCTTCAATTTCTTGTAGCAACCAGTTAAACAATACTTGCATGCAATATTTCTTATGCGATTCATTCATGAAAACATAAGAATTTTGAAGTTAGCATGTGGACAGCTATCACTATGTTTCAACTGTTTATGTTTTTCATTCAATGTACAAATTATCCAAATTTTATCATATAGTTAAATGGATGAACACAAAGTAATGTGAAAGAAACAAAAAACAAAACCACATCCATTTAAGTAGTTCTGTGACGAAATATTATAATCAAGCACGACACGTGCATAAGATAATCAAGCACGACACGTGCATAATAGAATAAAGCACGACAAAGCTCTGATGATGAATCATGATTAGCAAGGCAACCATTCTCTACATATTCGTCATGACATTTACATTACAAAAATCCATAACATGTTGAATTCAAGGGGGCTATCAGTTAAAAACACTCAGTAGTTTATCCATATCTAGTCTACCAGTTAGTTATTTCACTTCAGTTGTTACGTCATCTATAAATTGATTACGTCATCTAAGTAAGCGCTGAAGCAAAGGTTAAAAGCTTTGATGCTTCTTTTAAACAAATATTAAGATAACATTATGCAATATTGTATTCAAGCTTTATCTGTTGATATAATGCAGGTGGGTACGAACCATGAAACTGATGCATATAAGAATGAAGCGTTTATCATATTTGTTTACATCAAGATATTACAAATGGTGTAGCGTTCATTTAAATATCAAATAAATGATGATATACCTTTAGACACTGCTATATTTAAAAAGCTTAATATACATTTATGTAAGATGCGTCTAGATAGCTTTATATTGGGTAAAATCTTTATAATCATAAAATTGATATAAAATGGTATGAAATATTCATCAATATATGACATTTAAAAAATGGCATATTTTCCTATAATATGTTTAACAAATGTATTAACAAAACATCTAAGAAGATTTAAAATATGACGTAACTATGAAAACAATGTGTTTTTTCTCGTGAAAATTATTTTTGAAGAGAATGATTACCTTGAAACAATAGAAATTCTACTTGCTTTCGTGATTCCATGTATTTTCATAAATAAAAAGAACAACAAAATAATCTTATTTAGTTCCTTAATAACCCTTGAAACTTAAAATACATGCACTCAGTTTCATTTTGTAACCAAATTAAGGACAATTCTTATCTACCTGCGCTATAAAAGATTAAATGGAAAAAATGAATGCTTCAAATATTTGGGCCGAATTGTAAATGGCAATTTCAGTCAGATGGAATGCTTTACCCCGCACACTTACTGAATATAGATAAAAACGACACAACGAATGGGTGTTTAAACAATAAAGAATGTAAAATAGAGGACGAGACAAACAAATTGAAGTTTGAATATTCACGAGAGAGAATGATCACCTTGCCAGTATGGGGATGCGTCCAACTCGTCTTGTTTACCTGCGTGGAAGAGTTGGCTAAAATTCGCCTCCGAGTCCCACATTAGAAATATATAGTCCATTGGTATGGAACTTATCAGATCCAGGAAAAACCAGGATTTAAAATAATGCTTGGCGATAAGTTTAGGATCAAGAATAATCTCGTCGGCAAAGTCATTCAAGATAATTCCTGAAATAAAAAAAATCCATCCATGTTAATCATGCAAATTATATCTGTTGATTTAAGACTGACTGGCGACAAATCTTTTGATATGCAGACATAGAATAATGCTTACTTCCCAGCATACCTAGAAGTGATATCTTTATGAGAAAATGTATATGTTACATTAGTTCTTTAAATTGTCATTTGATTTTAATGAAAAGTCCGATAGTCGTGACATATTTCAAATATTGCTGTTTTCAGAAAATTAAAAAAATACAATACGGCTCATTTCAATTTGCCTGATATTAAAGTAGCATTGTGTTAACTGAAGAACCTTCAATGCCTTGTATGATTATTTAATAGTTTATGTCATGAACCTCAATGATTAAGCTGATAGTAACAATACAATATAAATTCTTAATATGCAGGATGTGTCGTAGATCTGTATCATTTCGTCGAAAATGACAAAAAGCAACAAAAAAACTAGAATGTATATAATTATGTATGTTTCTATCTTTCGCGAGCATGACTCGTGTTAATAAAAGCCAAACTATCGGAAGTTTGCCCGGAGTATGCCCCCGCAGTATTTTGTGATTTACGTGCCAGAAGTGTAATAAATGTTTTATTGTTCTGTCATGTCTTTAAAATGGTCTAGAACGCTCAAAGCAACATAAAAGAAAGTCATTTGTATTGCTTTTTTGCCATAATTATGTCGTTAGACTGGTAATAAACTCGTTTGCTATTTGTCATCGTTGGAATTTGAGTTATTGCCAATGAATTCAGACATAACATTATTAAACATTGTATCGATATATTTGATATACTTTGGTACCAAATGGCATTGGGACAGATGAGTTAATTGACAATACATGTTTTAGACTTTTCTATCTTAGATACGTATCATTTCAGATATTTCCAACAATATGAGTTTCATGCGTTTCAGCGACTCTCCAATATTTGATCAACTTACATAATAAATAACAAAACTCAGTTTCAAATTTATTGTCACCTTATTAGTCAATTCATAATTAACATTGTCGTTATCATGAGTAAGAATTAAACACACTTATATACGGCTTTGGTTGTTCCTACGCCTCACAACTTCACGTGTTAAATAGGCCATGGGCATCACTTATAACGAAATTATTTCTATTCTTAAAAGCTGCACTCCTTGTCACCGGTTCTTCACGGTATGTATTTTCGTAATGTGTTTACCTATAGTGTGTAGAGCTTCACACGTAAGTATTTACGCTGTGTGTGTTTATATCACATTCAAAAAGAGATTGACTATATAACAATAATCTCAAATTTGAGATAACAGATCTGCAGAAGCCTTCGGTCTTACCAATCCATTGCTAAATGCACCATCGTGTTTCTGCAGTTGTTAATGCACAAATTAAACGGTGTATTAACCCATCTAATGTTGATAAAGAGATAATGTGTTATGTTACAATGTGAAGCTCATCTCCTACATAAACTGATTTTGACAAGGATGTTTATCATATGGTATAGAACAATGACTACATGGTGCAGTTATAATAAATATATATTGATTAAATGCTCTTAAATATGAAGGATGTCACCTACCTGTTCTAAAATTGATAAGTATATCAAAGAAGAAGACTGTATCACTAATGCAGTTAAAAACAATCCATTGTGTGCTGAGATCATCGTTAAAGAATGAGATAGCTACCGGTAATATAATGAGGTTTGCTATCAGTAAAACCAACATAAAGAGGTCCCAGTAAAACCTGAAAGTAGAAAATAATCTTATTGTATGTATGTGACAGACTGAATAGTTATAATAACATAAAGGAGTGGATCTTCAAACATTGTATAATAAAGATGTGAAAGGTCTGAATGTAGTAAAGGTCATACTTGAAACTGAGCATTGAATAAAAGTTATTATTTCATAAGGAGTTGCCTCTCAAGTTGTAATAAATAGCTGTCAGTAAATCTTGAGAACAGGAATACAATATGATTGACACAGTGTAATGACAGTATTTTGGAAAAATGTGCAACTAGACACGAGAGTGAAAAGGACAACTTGATATTGTGCGAGATAACAATATGCTCCTCCAAACAGTCATTATCTAGAGAAGTGACAGTTATACACTGACGTAAGAAACTTGTGAGATAAATATAAAACACGATGGTTCAGTGTAACAAACATTCATTTAACTTTATACAGCTTTTATAGATCTGAATTAAACAAAGTCTTATAACGTTCTCCTGATATTAATTTTGAAACACTTTCTGTAAGATTAAACAAAACAATGACCACCGAAAGGTGACGATTGTAGAAGAAATTAGTATATGAGCCGTGTCACGACAAAACCAACGTAGTGCGTTTGCGACCAGCATAGATCCAACCCAGCCTGCGCATCCGCGCAGTCTGATCAGGATCCATGCTGTTCGCTATCAGTTTCTCTACTTGTAATAGGGTTTCTAAGCGAACATCATGGATCCTGATCAGACTGCGCGGATGCGCAGGCTGGTCTGGATCCATGCTGGTCGCAAACACACTACGTTGGTTTTGTCGTGACGTGGCTCATTTATATTTAGTTCAAAATTTGTTGAAAATGCTATACAACAACCAACACAATGGCAACATCGGCAAATCTTCTTCTGTAGGTATTAATTAACTATCAAAATGTGTACCTGTAAGTTTGCTAGGAGGTTTAAAGTAAAAATACATTTTTAAATTAATAGTCTAGACTCTTTAACATTTCATTCAAATTTCTGGTCACATTTTTCTATGTTCAATTTCAAGTAACTTAATAACTTTAAACTTTTTAGCTACAGGGAAGTATCAAGAAGTTGAAGGCTTCCGGTGACAAAAGTTGATATATTCAAATTCCAAGAATTCTGTAGACATTGTTGCCAGCAGAAATATGATAACTTACCTAGACTACAAATTACCTGGCTGATTCTAGTGTCAAATTCTTTGCAATTGATTAAATGACTGTAAGTTTAATCTGGCAGTTTTTCATATCCTGCAGTAATTGGCTGTATTTGATAGGAATAGGTGTTTTTACAATTATTTCTCTTTATAAACTGGCTGCTTTTTTGTCTTACTTTCAAAATTGTTGGTGTATCGTAATAGAATTCAATTCATACATTAAATGTTAACAGTCAGGTCATTTTGGAATCACTTTATCAAGATTAAAAAACAAAGCGGTTAACTTAAAAACTTAAAACTATAACAATGTCCATAGCTGTAAAGTTATATTATTAAGAGTATCTAAGCAAACTAAGATTTGATTTCTCTTTTTTTATTTTGATCAGCTAAAACATGTGTAATAATACAAATATACAGTACTAATACACATATACACAATTCATATTATATGACAATTATTCCTGATACTAGAATTTCTTCGATTATTTTGTAAAATTTTTTTAATAGTATGTTCTGTTTAGTAAAAGATGTAAAAGATTGAAAATATATTATTGGTGGTCAATACAATTCATTTTTATGTCTATTCTTATTCCAAAGTCCAATCAATCATTAAAATAAATAAATAAAACAAAAATAAACATCAGAAGGTACTGTACATACACACATCGAAAACATCAGTTATCTTTTAAACCGATCGGAACATAATGTGTACACATAAAACATACTAGTACTTGCTCTGAAATGGTTGTTAACCAAGTACAACACAGTAAAACAAAATACAAATGAGCCGCATCATGACAAAACCAACATAATGGGTTTGCGACCAGCATGGATCCAGACCAGCTTGCGCATCCGCGCAGTCTGATCTGGATCCATGCTGTTCACTATCAGTTTCTCTACTTGTAATAGGGTTTGTAAGCGAACAGCATGGATCCTGATCAGAATGCTCGGATGCGCAGGCTGGTCTGGATCCATGCTGGTCGCAAACGCACTATGTTGGTTTTGTTGTGACGCGGCTTAAATATTTATTCTTGACCTTTCAAATTACTCTAATTTAATCAATGTCATGAAATGTTTAAAAACAGATGTCAACTGTAGTGCATTTCTTATGGGACTTATGCATATTTCATGCCGTTTGTCGTGCTGACAGCTGGAATAGAAATTTTCCAATCATTTGTCCAAATTACTTGCTATAAGTTTCCCGAATAATCTATCTCAAAGTAAAGTCAAGTTTAAAAAAGATAAAGCTGCTACACAAGGTTGATTTGCTTCAGGGAAAATTACGCAAGATAATCTGGTGTTGGATAAAGTCATTTCTCTTACAGTATTGATCATTGGTTTGACTAGGTCTTGTTAAAAATTGAGATGAATCTAAAGATATTAAATCATTGCCATGCCTTGGTTTTGACGCGTACTTCAATCAAATAATTGAAACGAGCCGTTCATAACAAATATGATTCACACATAGATTCTAAGAATGAAGTGAGACAGATAGGTGTTTTATATAACATTTTTAAATTATGTTACGAATTCAATAAATTAAGGTTTCGAATAATTCAACATTCCATTTAATTTCATCATAAACGCATCATCCATTATGAACAATGAAATATTTTGTATCAATTACAATTGATAACAAGCTTAAACAAGAAACATTAAATCAAAATAAAAGATAAAATCCAATTATAGAATTAATAATTTATGTCACTAGGTTATAACAAAACAATCGCATTTAACAAATTTCCTGGGATGCCCAATTTGTTTCTAAATTATTTACAATTTAACCAGAATACCACAGAGCTGATTGATAGGCGTTTGATTGAAGATAATCATCAAAAAGTACAAACATTGGAAATGATCCAGACTGGAAGTTCTCTTGAATGAATATAGAAGGTTTGTTTCATCTAAAGCAATTACTTTAGCGAACGATAACTGCAATGTATACATAATTTCCTGTATTAAAGAATCAAGTATATGACTTCAAAACTTTAATAAAGTCATGCTTAAACCCCAGCTTAATAGTTTCATTCAGATTTAAAAACAACTTTCCTGAACAAAAGACTATAGTTATACGGTAAAATTCAATTACTTCAGTTGATATAATGTTGCAGTGTGTCTGTTAATTAAAAAAACAACAACAAACAAATAAAATCAAAAACAAAAAACAAAGCTCAATTATGCCTGTCTGAAACTCTTATGAAGCAGAAAATTGCACTTGTCAGTCAGCAATTTAAATAAATATTACTTAGTAAAGTTGAAATCATACACATATGCATGATCTGGGATTGTTAACACCTTTGCAACCCATGCTTAAACCCATAACCCCTATGCCATTTCGTTTAGTAACAAAGTACATTGTTACAAATGTTAGGAAATGCAAAGAATTTTCCTCCGTGTAAGTTAATCAGATTCACAATCGTCTTAGTTTTTTTGCCCTTTCAGATATTATTAGAATTGATTGGATCACTTAGAAGCTTAATACGCGGTTCTGATTTTATAGCATTTCCTTATAGATTGGTGCGCATATTACATGCAGTCAGCAGGAATGGAAAGATATACCACTTGCCTTACAAATAGCCTGCAATAAATGTTCTGAATGCTATATCAATAATAAAGTCAAGTTTCATCAAAATAAAGCGGCCACAAAATTTGTTTATGCTTCAAGGAAGATTACGCAAGATAATCTGGAGCCAGATAAAATCATCTCTCTTACAGTATAGATCATTTACTTGACTACGTCTTCCTGAAACTTAAGATGAATCTCAAGAATTTTTTTTATCATTTTGGATAGTGTGATTTTGACGTGTCCTTAAAATAAGCCGCTGAAACAAATCATTCATATAAGATCTGATTCAAACTAAAGCACTGAAACTGTTAGGAGACAAAACATATATACGTTTACAAATTATTACAGGGGTCATGATTAAAATACATCTTTCATAGAATGCATAAAATTGATTGGTTTCTATGTCTAGATAATAGGATAGGGTATGTAGACGTTACAGACTGCCTCATGTCATCGAAAGCTTCGTCTTAAAACATTCAACTTTTATTACAATTCAGCAATATAATGAAAAATTGTACGCGTGACAAAGGAAATATGAGAAATGAAAAATTTATATGTAAAAAAATATTTTCTAAGGAAAATTTGAGATGTAAGCAATATATGAGATAAAGTGGTCGATATCACAGATCGAAGACATTACTTTACTTGAAAACTACTATCTAATTTGTGACTTCTGGCTGTATCCAACTTTAAAAAACAGTCTTCGTGCTACGAAATTTGAGTCAAGAGAGAAACTGAGGTGTGTCGTGGACAGACAGCTGCGGGAGATGTCACGAGACGGGCTACAACACGTGTTCAAGTCATGGGTCAAGAGATTGGACAATAGTAAATCGTGCATGGGACTTTACTTTGAGAAGATGCAGTAATCACTTTAGGTACTTGAATCAAATCATTTCCCCGCTATTGAATTACTTTACGAATTTATTGATGCACCCTCGTACACTTCTACAGTTTGTAAATATCTCAATCTCTTTCATTCGTTTAACCACCATGCTAATTTATATGTACTTATATCCTAAAAATGCAAGGTAGAGGTGGCATAAAAACTATATAGGCATCTTATTGTCATCCAAACATTTCAGGAGGTATCTACTGATCATTATGATGTTTGAAACATTAAAGTACAATGTAAATTTTACTTGCATTTGTTATTACTGATAGTTAAAAAACATCATTACATAAGCAAATCCATAAAGCCCGCTCTATCATATTTAGACGAAGTTTTTTCTTTAATCTCCATAGACTCGCTTATATCATACATATTTGATAACATTTGTCTAATT